TCTCAAGAACACCAATACTGAATTAAGGACACAAAGAAGTTTGTGTCTCTTGCTTCGGCTTCATCCACTTGTTCTGAGAAGCTAGTTTATTCTCACATTCTTAATCCTCCTGCCAAGTCATCCCATCATGACCTTGGTTCAGTAACTTAAGATGGGAATTTCCGAAGTCTTTCAAAAGTCCCCTTTGGTGCCTGTTAGGGGGAAGACATGAATGATTTGACCACAGTTGTGGGAAGTACTCTTTGAAATTTACTGTTTAACATTGAAATTGCAGGTGTATCCTTATTTCCATCCAGCCCCTAGCCAATTTCTCCTACTCAGAAAGAACTGATGCAGTAGATTCACCATGAGTCGGAATAGGTTTGCTTTCACTCTTGTCATTTAAGCTGGCTCTCACATATTTTCTTTCCTCTTGCTTGCTTTCATTCCTGTAGCGGATGTTTCTTTTTTCCTGTCTTTCTGATACTACAAAGAAGACATTGGCAGCTCAGTCACCTTTGAGTTTAACTGTGAGACAAACAAATCTTACAGTATCGGACTCACTGATAATTACTGCTAGGCTAATCTTAGATGACTTTATCATAATATTGTTTCTAAGTATTTGTTCCATATTCTTCCTATGAGAAATTCAACAAAACATTAATAGCTCCATCCTGTAGTGGTGTTGCCCACATTAAACTAGGAAAAGATGGCAGGCAGAGAAAGATTTTCAAGGATGAGAGTGCACTTAGTTTGAGTTTAGTGGACAGTAGAACCACAATACATGTGATGCAGCTGTCTAGACAAATGAGTTGACTAAAAATCGAACATGTCATTTATGTACTTGGAATGGGTAGTGATGTGATTATCTCCTGCTATGTGTCGTAGGACAGTTAATTTGCAACATGCCTCTGTCCTAGTCAGTCTACCTGCATGCCGTAAACCAGTGGTCAGTAATTTTCTGTGTAAATGGAAATCTCCTTTACCTTGCTTTACGAAACAGATGATACTTCTGGAAACATTCGCTGATTCTGTGGCATGATAGGAGGTTAACATTGTTGCTCCATTGTAGCCACTTGAATCCCTATGATCTGTCGCACCTGCATGTCTAGTAGCCCTGCTTAGAGGCAGAAGTACTGAAAAACGAACAGTTCTCTGGTACTCAAAAATATAACTGGCAAAACATGCAGGCAATGGTAACTTAGTGACATTTTCTGTTAAGGTGTGTAACTGTATCACTATTTTTCAGGTGCTGAACTAGACTTATGAAAAAACCCCTGACTCTTTGTTGAAATCTCTATTGGGCCTGTTCAGAAAGATGCAGCGGGAAATAACAAGAGCAGGCTGTTGTTTTCAGGAGATTAAACCAACATACACTGTACTGGCTTCTAGAGCAGCTACCCTCCTTGGCTTCTATCTTTGGATCTGGACCCTTGGTTGAAAGGCTGAAGCAGCTGAAACACTGCTGTAGCTATGAAGAATGCCTGTTGATACATATAGTAAATACAGTGTTTGCCCTCCTTTGTAAGTGTTACCACTGTACATTGGGCTGTTACAGACTCATGCACTCACATAGGCAAATGCCTAAGAAGGGCCACTTAGAATGTAAAAGCTTAGTTTGGGTATCGGAGGAGAATACTCAATGGTATGTACTCAATAGTGATAATGCCATTTTATTAGCTTAATTAAATCGCTGTATAACCTCTGTCAGAAATGGAACTGACTTAAAAAATTGTGGGGAAGCTGTCAGATGCTACTTGTAAGGTCCAAATGACTACCAGGGAAATTAAATTGATAATTCATACTGTGCTCTGTAACTTTAAAAGACAGTTGGACATTGCAGAAACAGAAATCTATTGATCATGCAGCATAGATGGACTGCTTAACATCTGGACTTCAGAAATTATTGGTTAAATTCTCTTAAGTGTTTTAAGATGGAGGTATTATAACTAATAGTCCTTGTATATACTGATGCTGATCCAGAACTGACTTTGAACTGTGAGGACTTTCCAACATCTCCTGCGGAATTATCTGCACAGTACCTGATCAACAGGTGCTCAAATATTCAGAGCCACTGGAGGCAACATTCTGCTGATGAACAACCAATATTTATCTTCAGGGTCTAATAAAAAAACAAGAAGGCGGAGGATGTCAGACATCATCCGCACTAGTGCTATTTCATTATCCTGTTAAAATATAGACAGAAATACGTATACTGAATACCAGGAAAGGAAAGGAAAAATAGATTTTATATTATTGCAAAGTCAGGAACATAGAATTATGTAGTCCAAGACTTCTGTGAAAGAGCATTATTCTTCTCTTCTCGTGTCAAAAGGTAGTTATTTTTCTTTCTGAACATAGAAACACTCTGCTATGAGTCACCTTAGTCCCAAACTGAGTTGAATTAATTGGAGAACATACAGTATTAATGTTTTTCTTAACATTTGCCAACAGTAGCTGGCAAATATTAGATAGTAAATGCTATACAAATTACTACACCTTGTGTAGAAATACCTTCCTCAACCTAGGGATGTTTGCTTCCAATGTAGGTACCCCAAATTCGTTTTTACTGTTCTGCCTGCAGTACTAAGTCAGATCAGATTTGTGCATGTCTTAGTCATACTGAGTCTTTTCCTTGGGGATACGTATGAATTCCCTCACTGAAATAAAAAAAAGAAAAAAAAAAAAAAAAAAAAAAAAAAATCCAAACTGGCCTTAATTTAGTCTATGCTTTACACTGATCAGATCATTTCCTATAACCATAGGATTCAGAGTGCGGTAAAGCTATCAACTGGCATCTTAGCTCACAGGAAAAGGAAAACCCCAGGAGAAATACTGGAGAACTAGATTAGCAATTGGCCTTTTTTGGTTCTAGAATATGCATCTGGAACAGCTGGAGGTGACGCTAAATGAAATAGGTATGGCCAATGTCCAAAAGAAAGTGGCTAACAGGGTGGCAAGCTGAGTCGTCACAGAATGAGTGATCTTCTTTCAGAAAGACAAATTTACAGTATTTAACATACTTGCTACCAGTAAATGATTTAATGGAAAAAAGAATAAAATTAATCCAGTAACTGATTTTCACAATGGCCAAGATAAAGAAAACTATCTGAGCAAAGAAGCTGTTTGTTTATCCCATCACGAATACTGCTGGACTGTGTCTCCAGCTCCCTCAAAGCTAGAAATAAGGAAAATCTTTTTCTCTTTTTGATTAAAGACCACGGTTGTAACCTGGTAGTATCTTGCCTATGCATGTGACATCAGGTGAGAGAAAATCATATCCAACGCATATCATTGTTTTAAGGAAAACTTTAAAATGTAGGACCAGTTTACTTCATCCAAACCATGTAATAAGCACTTCTTTCATTGACAATCTGCAGTGGCAAATAATTTGTTTATTTCTTCAGTGATACCTCTGCCAGTAGTTAATACTGATATCAATGTGCTTATGTATTTACCAATCAGTTAGTCTATAAGTCACTAGGAAGATGACATCCACTGTGCTAACATTTGTGTTCTTTCTCTTGTAGTTTACTGGAGATTCAGCTCCTTAGAGTGATGAAGATTGACTGTTGGGAGTAACCCAACAATAAGGGAGTACCAGGCAATGTATTTGTTGCCATAATGAGATTGAGACTTCCTTCCTGGTAAGTGGACAGCTGACTGACTCGGCCATTTATCAAATGAAGATGGAGAAATGGAAGTGCCTGGAGGAAAGAATTACTTCTTATGGATAGCAGTTCGTATGACATGATTATGAATCATGAGGAAAGCAGTTACTTTAGAAAGAGCTGAAAGAAGACTCTGCAACATTTCAGAACTACCAGGGGACAGGTGCATTGAGTCTTAGAAATACAGTTATCATGATTTCCAATAACTGGTCAAAAGTGATTCCTACCTTCCATGTTCTTACCCCATAAGGAGACCAAAGTTACAAACTCTAGTACATAGGAAATATTTCTAACGTGTATTTTTTTTTTTTTAAGTGTGTAAGAGACTTCATCACCTCCTTTATTCAGAGAATGAAATTTACACTACTTTTCTTTGGTTGAAATTTAGATTGAAATCTCTGGCAATTGCTAAAGGAACTGTAATAATTACCATAATGACTAAGGTAGTATCTGTGTCAGATGTAACAAACAAGGTAAGAAAGCATGTTCTGTCACTGGACAGTGGAACCAAGCACCAGCATTACCTTCTGTTGAGAAGATTAGAGATAATTTTTAATACCCTTATACTACCACTGTACAAAAGGGGAAAAGGGCAAGGAAAAATCTTTAAATAAATGTCGTAATTTTTGACATTGAATTCTTAGGTAAAACAAGTAATTGGATTTACCTGCAAATTACAGTAGAATTAAATATACTAAGAGATAGCCAATAGACCTTTAAGACAAACAGGCTTCAGCTTGTGTTTTGATGCTAGTTCATTGAGTAATGTTAATGAGAAAAAACAATAGCAAGGAAAACTGTCAGACATGACTAACAACAGAACTGAGAGATGAGCTACTATCTTTTGGCAGCACAGATGGCATAGGGATAGATTTCAGATAACAATAATAGCTATAGCCAAATGCTTTAACAGGGCATGATAATTTTATATTAATAATAATAATAAAAGAAGAGCTTTTCTCTTAAACATAACTCAGCCTGAACTGATGTTGATGAGGAGGTTGCCACTGCAGATATCCTGAGATGATCTTAGAGAATTTTGTTGAAAGGTTGGTAAGTTAGGCAAGATTTCTTTTCTGGTGGACTCAGCAAAAAGTAAAGACACTTTAAGTCAAGAAGAAGCTCTAAACCCTGTTAAATTCCTTTCATTTATATTTCATATGTAATATGATTTGTATGTATTCAGTTATGAATATTGTGAATTACAGCAATTTTATTATTCTTTGTTTACATGTTATGCTATGTAAGCAGGATAGTAAGTGATGTTCTTTCCAGTTTACTGTTCGCAATAATCTAAATTCTCTGAGGATGTTAGTGAAAGAATCTTGGTTCCCAGCTTCTGTCTTTTGGTCAGTGTTTGCATTCCTTCTGTATAACCTTTACAAAACTCTGTATGAATTCTGTAAAATTTTTTTCTTCATACTCTTCACATTCTTTGCATTTTGCTGATGTTGTGGAATTCAACTGAAAAAGAAGATACAATAGTAAAGCAGGATACTGATCTATTTGTTCTGACAGAGCACTAACCCTTGTTTGTCTGTTTTTGCGAGTAATTCCAATGCAGTCAATGCCTACAGAAAGCATTGCTGGAGGTTTCCACAGTACTGTGGTCTGTGGAGCTCCTGGCTTGCTTTCTGAGTAGGATCATCTTTCAAAAACAAAGCACTTCAGTCAGAGATGCAAGTGGCCGTCCCTTTGAAAATTAGGTTACTTTTCTGTATGTATCTGAGCATATCTGACTTTAGACACTGAAGTTACAAAGTGTTATTTATATATATGCATCCAAACAGCCTGACATATGCATGCATGCACAACGAAAAGTATTTGCTTTGATGGGAATCATGAAAGTGTTTTTCTAAAAAAGCACTAAATTCTACTTTTTCATTGTTGTATGTGTAGCTTTTTCATTGTTGTATGTACAGGTTACTGGATCCCACTTGCTTTCATCTGTACTATCCCACCTTTTATATAACAAAAGAGGTACTTCTGCTACTTAAGAAACACTTTTGATTTGCCTTTTTTCCACAGACTGCTGGTGTTACCTACTTTGTTATTTTCTAAGCTTGCATTTCCATTTTTCCATATGTTCAATACGTCCTGTGTTTTACTACATTTTTTGATAAGACATTCTTGAAGAATCACTTTCGTCTCTAAGAAAAAGCATCTCATTACAGGTTCTTGGCATTCTTTCTGAAAAAAAAAATGAAGTTGTAATAGGTTTATGATTAAAAAGCATCAGGTGAACGTAAGGTATAATTTACCACGAAGTGGTTGATTTTTATTTACTGGATATGTCTTCAAATACTTTAAATATCTGCAAAGATTGGTTGTGAGAGCTAACAACACAAAAGCCAGCCAATTTGCTAAGATCACAGAATCATACAGAATCACAGAATGTTCAGGGTTGGAAGGGACCTCTGTGGGTCATCTAGTCCAACCCCCCTGCTGAAGCAGGGTCACCTACAGCAGGCTGCACAGGACCGCGTCCGGGTGGGTCTTGAATATCTCCAGAGAAGCAGACTCCACAACCTCCCTGGGCAGCCTGTTCCAGTGCTCTATTACGCTCAGAGTGAAGAAGTTCTTCCTCATGTTGTCTAAAAAGTTCACTTTATTCTGCCTAGTTGGAAAACACTGTCAATCTAAATTAGCTGTAATTTTCTCTGTTATTTCACTGCTTAATGTATTTTCCTATAAAGAGATGCTTTTTTGGGCATGGATATTTTTTTTCTTCCTTGTTCAACTGAGTTCTTGCTAATAGCAAAGTATATGTTCAATCTGGTGAGAACCTCAGAGGAGTTTAGATAGTAGTCAAGACAAAGGTCACAAGTTTATGCACTGATTTTACCAGGTATTAAATCAGCCATTCCAATGGATTAACCTCTCTGGCTCAGTTCAGTTAAGAGAACGTGTGTGGATGTGGACGTGCATGTTTTGTGACCTTTTTTCTTGTCGTGTACAGGGCTAACTGTGCAGACACATCAGACTGTGCTTTCTCAGGCTTGCCAGATCCACTGAACACATTAACATCACTGTGTTCTGCATGCACACTGAGGCTATTCTGAACTAAGTGAGACCATCATTTCTAGGAAATCTTTCATTAACTCTTTATGTACAGGATTCATGTGTGGTCTGTGTTTGGCACAGTCCTCATGTGAATGTTTATGTTGTCACGAAAGCAATGTCCCAGAAGCAGGCTACTAGCACAGCAATGAATCCAGCCAGTTCCACCAGGGCTATGCCAAAGGTGACTGCTAGGAGTGGGGTATTGGCTGGATTTATTTTCTTGGCGGGATGCATGAGTCCCATGAAGTGCAGAGTGAGCTCCACAGCAACAGATTATGAAAAAGTCTCTTCAGGAATGAATTATGAAAACTGCATTTAAGATGATCATATTTTACATAGGTTTTGATGATTGTATTAAGAATTATATTGACAAATTAACATAATTCATCTTTTGCAGAATAAATTATGATCTCCAACTATCAGAAGTCTAAATCCTTGAGAGTACCTAGGTATTTGCTGCTAAACTAAGCAATGGCAAAAGCACAGAAATGCACAGGTAGATACTGACAATTACTTTGCACATTCTACGTCTCCAGTATTTTATTCCATTAAATAGTGCATGGTGTTAAATAATCATCTTTGGAAGTGTTTTCTTTGTCACTTTTTCTCTCCCCAAATTGCAAAGGAATACCAGCATTATTTTAGCAGTGTTTGCTTTGGTAAGATCATTTTGGATCATCCCTTTTAACTGATTAAAATTAAAAATAATTAATACCTGCTTACATAATTTATCGTAAGTATTTTAACTAACAGAACTGTTACTTCTAAGGCACATTATGAGATTTCTGAAACTTTTCTCAAATTAGACCAAGGCTGCCTTAGGACAAAGTTGCTAGAAAAGAAATCAAGCTACCATATTAGACCAGTTGTGGTCATCTTTTAAGTTTACTTACACCCTCATCTGTGTTTGCAGTATATAAACTGACATCAATGTCCTAAAAGAAAACAAGAATTAGAATTATGAACATTAACCAACAGATTTAGAGACAATAAAGCTAACTCTGCAAGACATGGATTATCTCCAAGTTCAAAGGCCCAATCCATCCAGGTACTGGGAGCTAGCAAGTCAGGGGATCTTAAAGTCACCTAGTAACCTGCAGGTTGGGCTTCACTGTGAGGAGCACTCACCAGAGTCCCACAGTACTTTCTCTGAAGAAGCTGACTCCCCAGACCACTGCCCCTTTTCTTAGGAAAAATGAGAAAGAAAATAATATTTCATTCTAAAGTCTGCATTATTTGGTCAACTCCAGTCCCCTTTAATCCTCTATTCCTTTGCTTCCACTCGTGAAACATCATTGTACAAACCCCATCCCTTGTCCTGCTCCCTGTCACTGACACTTCTTTGCTGAGTGCAGTGCTAAATATTTCATTACGTCTGCTTCTATGATTATATGAAATGCTGACTTTTTAATGAACTTACTTTGGATGTCTTGATCTGTTCCAAATCTTTCAGAACTTCCGCCCACTTGCAGTGACCTGCTGCTGTTTTTGGTATGTAAGCACTGGAACAGAAGAAAAACAGTGACCATTAGGTTAAACAGTAGGTATACACATTGTTTATGCCGAAAAAAAGAGTCAGAGATTATTTACATGTTATAGATACGTTGTTTACATGTATGTATATAAATGGTAAATGTGTGGGGCAAGTATATTTGACAAACCATAAAATCATATTGCTACATAAAAACTAGATATCAGAGTCACACTGTATAAACAGTTAATATGTTTTTTAAAGACTGGTTTTATAGAATGCAGTGCCATAGAAAGGCTCAACGACTTAACGCAAAATACCTGCAATTCTTTTAAAGCATACAAACCACCACAAATTTCAAAGTCTCTTATATGGAAAATTTCCCCTTCTGTTCCTATGGAATTTCTACTGTAAGCCCTGTAAAAATATGATTTTACATTTTAGATGTAATTTTTTGTGTACAGGAAAGCTTCCTGCTGCTATAATAAGATTTTGCTCAAAGTGAACCACTAAAGGGTGGAAGGAAGATTTCCTTCTCCTTTGGAAGATTTTTTGAATGTGAATTGTGGTTTTAATGTGTCCCCACTTGGATCCTTAATTTGGATGCATTTCAGTTCTGCTAAAACAAGCAGTTGTTAAATATTTAAGCCTTAACCAAAGGCTCAAAAATTACAACATTGCTGGGAAAGGAAGAAAAGGGGGTTTATAACAAAAATCAGAGGAGGCTTACCATGTTCTTGCCAGGGACAGAGAGAAAGAAGAAATGTCAGACTTTAGAAAACAGATTTGACAGAAGGGGCACAAGAAGAGAACAACTAGGGCATGGAGGCCTGAGAAGCAGGGACAGTTTTCTAAGATAGGGAAGTGGTGTGAGAATGGAAGGAGGTGTGTCATATACATAATTCAGTGTACATATTTAAACATGTTCACACATGGTGGTTTTTTCATTGCAAAGACATATGGCAATTGATTGAGGTCTTTAAATGCAACAATCCCAAAAACTTGAGGGTTATCACGGAGATTAGGATTAAGACACATTCTTGACCAGACTGAGCCTAGACAGAGAAAGACAATAAAGTAAGGGACTGTGGCCTATGAAGCAATGGGGGACTGCACATCATGGTAGGAGAGGATCCACTCTCTAAAGCAACTGGAGGCAAGTAATAGCTGTAACAGTAAAAATAAATAATTTGTATTTACTGTTTAATTAACATTGGTTTTGTACTTACCATAGGAAGAAGATGATTAGTCCCATCTCATTCTTTAAAAGGCAAAACAAATGGCTGTTCAGAAGAAGATACAGCTGATTTTGCAGACAAATACTTTGCAGGTGTTTTTTCTGAAAGACACAACCGAGACCATAGCTTGTCATAATCTGATTTCATAGAATTTTGCTTTGGTACCAACTTAATTAACCAATTTAATAAGACATCCAATCAAGACAAGACTATCTGTTGTGTGTAGATTAAAAGACAAACTGATTTGTAGCTTGCAGAAATATATAATCACTTTACAAAACAGTTGGTAGAAAATCAGATGCTGAAGACACACTCTAAAAATCTGAACTCATCCTGGGCTCCCTATTTATCTATCTGTTCACACTGCAGACTGAAATTTAATGCAAGGACAATATTAAAGAAATTTGGTTTTGTTTTACATCCTGAAGATCTTTCCTCTGGTTACATGTTGCTACCCAAATTCTATGAATTACCTACAACTAGAATGTTACCTACAATATTGCAGTTGCATATATGTGAAACTGCACTGAATACATCAAATGCTATAGTTATGTGTACAGACCTTAAATATAATATTTAAATATAGTATATACTTATACTTCTTTACATAGTCTATGTACATCTAATACTGGGAAGCGATGGATTTGTGAATTCTGTCAGTGGAGTCTGACAACTGGAAATAAGGAGGCAATGTGAGCTGTGCGTTGAACATCAGCACAAGTTTCACCGTGCACAGCCTGGGAACCTTTGTTCCAAAGTCCCAAGCCCTTTGATTTAAGCTGATGCAGTTCCTTCACAGATCTAGGTTAATTATCTGCAACTGTGCTTTTGGTCCAAGGTTTTATTTCTTACCATACATGCAACACTTTTCTATTAACTGCCTCAAACAATGTTTCTTAAGCAGTGGTTAATGTACACACTACCTTGCAAGTGAGTATTTAAAAATGGACCAGAGAACATAATAAAACAAGAGCTAGCACTGTGCAGTAGTAAAAAATATCAAAATGGGAGGTCAATCCATACATTTTCAGGTTTGCAGCTAACTTGCTGAAAGCCACCTAACTGTTACTGAAGCATCTACTGGGAAAGCCAGGACAGTAATACTTGCATGTGTCACAGGGAACTTGTGCTGAGTATTTGTAATGAATATTTATTACTTTCATAAACAGAAAATGTTTTAAATACATTGCAATTATTTTGTTTCCAAAACCCAAATATGTAGCTGAAATAGCATAGTAACCTAATTGCTACATAAGATTCTACACTCAATAATAGAAAGCAGTGCTATACCCTTGAGTTCAAAACCTATTAAATACGAAGTATGTAGACGAATGATAAATAGATAATCTAAATTAAAGTAAGGTCAGACCATGGAGTATCTCATCCAGTTTCTGAACTAATTCAGTATGGAACATGCCATGTTATTGTTATCCAACGCACGTCTAAAAACAAGGCTCAGCCTGTTACTGTTTTGAAGATAAATGGAAATCTAAAACCAAAATATTAAGTGCATATAAATATAATAAATATTTTCCAAACATGCAAGAATATAGTGGGAAAGAAATATTAACTGCTTGGCTATGTCAAAAGAGCCAAAAGATTCTGTTATAGTATGACAGAAAGGCTGTAATCTTTCCACAGTTAACATTGTTTGGTCTGAAAGTTGTCATGGTTTGGGTTTTTTTTGTTTTGTTTTAAATCTGCATACTAACTTTTTTCATTTGATTTGATAATCCCTAAAAATATATCCTATTTTGTTTTTTGGCTTTTTTTCATTTAGTTGAAGCTCAAAAGCAGCCTTATGGGGAAACCTGAAGTATATTGAAGGAAATTTAAAATCTGATTTGTTGGCTACAGCTGAAGAAAATACATTTTTATTGTGTGTTTTCTTTTTAAAAACCACATTTTAATAAAATTATTTAAAATCTATTAGAAACATTTTGCAATACATTTACATTTTGATCATTTTTTTGGTTTGGCCTGTGTAAATGCCAGGTGCCCACCAAAACCACTCTATCACTCCCCCTCCTCAGCTGGACAGGGGAGAAGAAATATGACGAAAGGCTCGAGGGTCGAGACAAGGACAGAGAGAGATCACTCACCAATTACCATCACTGACAAAACAGACTGAACTTGGGGAGAAAAGGGAGTTTAATTCATCACCAATAGGATCAGAGTAGGATAGTGAGAAAATAAATCCAGATGTTCAAATACCTTCCCCCCACCCCTCCCTTCTTCCTGGGCTCAACTTCATTCCCGTTTCTCTACCTCCTCCCCGTGAGCAGTGCAGGCGGATGGGGTATGGGGGTTGTGGTCAGTTCATCACACATTGTCTCTGCCGCTCCTTGTCCCTCAGGGGGAGGACTCCTCACACTCTGCCCCGGCTCCAGCGTGAGGTGCCTCACTGGAGACAGTTCTCCACAAACTTCTCCAACATGAGTCCTTCCCATGGGCTGCAGCTCTTCACAAACTGCTCCAGTGTGGGTCCCTTCCAAGGGGTGCAGTCCTTCAGGCACAGGCTGCTCCAGCGTGGGTCCCCCACAGTGTTACAAGTCCTGCCAGCAAACCTGCTCCGGCATGGGCTCCTCTCTCCAAGGGTCCACAGGTCCTGCCAGGAGCCTGCTCTGGCATGGGGTCCCTTCCACAGGGTCACAGCTTCCTTCAGGCATCCACCTGCTCTGGCGTGGGATCCCTTCCATGGGCTACAGGTGGATATCTGCTCCACCGTGGACCTCCATGGGCTGCAGATGGACAACCTGCCTCACCATGGTCTTCATCACAGGCTGCAAGGGAAGACTCTCTGCTCCAGTGTCTCGAGCACCTCCTCCCCCTCCTTCTTCACTGACCTTGGTGTCTGCAGAGTTGTTCCTCTCACTTCATCTCACTCCTCTCTCTGACTGCCATTTCACCACAGTTTATTTTCCTTCCCCTTCTTAAATATGTTATCCCAGAGGTGCTACCACCGTCTCTGATTGGCTTGGCCTTGGCTAGCAGCCCATGGGGAAAGCTTCTCACAGAAGCCACCCCTGTAGTCCCCCCGCCACCAAAACCTTGCCACACAAACCCATAACAATAATTTTAAAAGCCATTTTTTTATCAAATGAGATGAGGTGGCTACAAATGAAAATATGAAAGACTTATGTTGGGTCCATGGCAGGGGGGCTGGAAGCAGAAAATCTGTAAAGTCCCTTACAACCCAAACCATTCTATGATTCTATGATAAGCACTTACCAGCTTTGTGTTTCATAATTAGTATTATGGGGCCTTAAAAAGACGATTTGAGTCCAAATGCATTGTCAAATTTATGCCACAGAACAAAGCGTTCAAGGTGAGGAAAATAATACATTACAGTACCTAATGAATAATGGGCCAGGGTTGTCATTAGTTTTTCACTTGTTTCCTTTTTTAATAGTTGTTCACTGTGATGACAATGGAACACTGTGTTCTTAATGATTAATATAGTTGTATTGATCTTTGGTTTTCTTAAATACGGTAGGTAACCATTTTATTGTAATGAAATAATCATTGCTAATTTGAAATGAATGCTTAATTTTTCAAAAGTAATAGAGAACTTGTACTGATTATAAAATATATAAAAAATATACTACATGCGTACTCTAAAGGGTGTTCCATTTATTTATATAGAAAGAGGTTCTTAATGTCCAGTAGACCACTTAATACATTCCTTTCAACAATTCAGGGCCATTTTCTACTTGATTTTCTTCATTATTTCATCCAAGCTATTATTCAACAACATAAGGAATGTTAGCTCACATATACTTTGACAAATTATTCTCCTGCCTTGAACACACATAGTTGTAAGTTTAAAATTCACTAGTGTCAGTTTTTCATTTCTTACTCTGTTTAATCATTAACCAATTCCTCTCTGTCTTTATTATGTCTCTGACTTATTTTATGGAAGCTTGAACTCTGGACAAGGGAGCAGCTCATATTTAAATACATAACATATTTTTATCTGTAGCTTGTGTCCTGATAACCAGCAACTCTAGGTTAAGGTTTAAAGCCTTTTTAAATTAATATGTATTGTCCCACAATGCAATTGAGCATTATGATATGCACAATAATGGAATGTTGTTTTCTTATAATGAAGTTAAAATGAAGCACTTTAAGAGCAGTTACCACTGAGTAAAATCTAAGCCACAATAGTACTGTTTTCTCTTAAAAGAAGCAAACGTGTAAGCAAATGACCAAACTTTTCTTTAACAAGGCAGAAACAGTTGCTGATTTTACTGTTTTGGCTGTCACAAAAACTACAGTCTAAGTTCGTCAAAAGAAAATATTTATAGCTTTTTACAATAATGAAGTTACTTGTGAAGGAAAATACTGAAAGCTAAAATTACATTGTTTGCCTACATACCATATACCTAAATTTCTTTATTAAGATTTGCTCATAAATTTCTCAGTCAATCCTTGTGATATATTTATAACTAAGAAAGTTTAGTTCCTCTGCAAGTTGGTTTTATCAACAAATGTCCACTATTTTTTATTGTTTATGTTGAACTGTATTTTTATTTTAGAGAATTTAGGTCCTGAAATGACAGGTCCTCAACCACCTCTTGTTTACGTGTACACATGCTTTCAACACTGTACTTCAGTGCAGTGAAGGAAAGCAGCTCTTTCCTTCATTGGGATCCCTCTGATAAGTAAGTAGACAGTAGTCTTCTCTCAGCCAACATTTTGCTAGACTATTGTGCTAGGTCTGGTCGGGATTGAGTTACTTTTCTTCATAGTGGCTGGTATGGTGCTATATTTCAGATGTGTGACCAAAAGAGTGTTGATAACTCACCAATGTTTTAGCTATTGCTGAACAGTTCCTGCAAGGCCTTCACTTCTTCTCACTCTGCTCTCCCCTGCCACCCCCAGCAAGTAGGCTGGGAGGAAACAAGAGGTTGAGAGGCGATGTGGTCAGGACTGCTGACCAGACTGAGAAAATTGACACTCCATACCATGTAAGATCACACTCAGCATAAAGGGGGTGGGTGGGTGGTGGGTGGTGGTGGGGGTGAGGTTTTCAAAGGTAGTCATTACTCAGAGACTGGTTCGGCCACGATCTTCTGGTGAGAGGTGGGGAGTGCTTGCT